CAGCGTGTAACAACAAAAACCTCCACTTCTTTGTATTTGATAGGCTAGAGTGTCCAAGAATGCAAGAGGCCCTCAAAGTCATCTCGCCACCAAGGAAATCGCCCACTTAGCTTGTTCACAGGTACTCTATCATTCTCAAAGTCTGTCGAGCCGGGGTGATAAAATATTAGAAACCGCAGGGGATTTATTGACCGCCAGCGCAACGGGGGGAGTGTTCGCCGATGTTTTTCGAAAAGAATGAAAAGAAAAATAAAACAGCGTCTGTGTACAGGCTAATCGCCACCAAGAAAGGACAAGGTCAAGTCTGTAAAAGAAAATTCCTTCACTTTTACAATTTTACGATGAAATTTAAGGAGGTAAGGGTCAAGAGACTTTACATGTACCTTACTTTCATAATCTGGGCCTGGGAGCGACCGCATAGCCTGCGTGACAGCCGGCTAACGCATTCGTCTAAACCATTTATATAGTTCGCTCTACTCGCAGAAGGTTCAGAGCGTCTGCCGGCGCATCGCCATCCTTGGCCCTTGGTACGTGCGGAATCCGAAATGCACTTGCGAGTCTAGTGCCAACTTACATTCATCAATTACGATCGACAGATTTTTAGTTGGGTTTTTATGAAGTAGTAAAAATCGTAGGTATAAAGAAACTGTGTCAATTATTGCAGAGTTATTATGTGGTGGCGAGTAGACTTCTTGGTGGCGATTGCGTTGGTGGCGAGATGACCGTAAACCTCTCTTTTAGCGGGAAGTGAAGATTGACTCTAGAGATCACTCTACTTTGTTTGTTAGTTTTTTTTCATTTTCCTGCCGATTATAGCACGCGTATTGGGTTTTATTCCATGCAATGAGATAAATATGATATTTCCAAATTTGAGTATGTATAAATCAGTGATAAAAAGAAGAGCTTCGACCCGACCACCCGCATTTCACTTGGATGTAGTGATCGATGTAACAATTATTTTCTGACTAGATTAATCTAGGATACGACATATTAGTAATTATAGTTTTTACATTTAAGATATAATTTTAATGTTCTCTTTTTTCTTTTTCTTTATTTAAGTGTCTGTTGTAGTTTTTGGGTGGACTAGCTCGGATGGTTCGTATGTTCCCTTCTATTCTTTCCCCACTGCAATTTTTTTTTTTTCTAGTATGTAGTTAACTGTTCTCTTGTGTAATTTAGCTAAGTTTTCTTTTTCGGCAGTGAAAATGGAATAAATTAAATTAAATTAAATTAAAGGGAGTTAGCTCTACATGAAACACTATCTCTGGAAAAAAAATTATAATGGGTAGCGATCAATTTCCCTGTCTCTACATCAGTCTTATCAAAGACATTTGCACCAAAATTTAGTAACAACACATAATTTAATAATAATGATGAATAATAATAATAATAATTAAAGACATTGGATCAGAAATCTACACAAAAGAACAGACTATGACATGACGTCCAGTCCTTAAAATAAAATTAGTCTCTCGTGACCACATTATTAATATTCTGACAAAATATTTTGTTTTGCCAAAACAAACCTGCATTACCATAGAGAGAGAGCTAGAGAGTCAAAACAAGTTACCGTTATTAATACACTTAACATAAGACTGTCAATGAATTTTTATCACCTTGATTTTTTAACTTAAAACCTGTTAATAAGTCACTTGTCGAAGAGCCTTGAGGGCTTTTTTACAGTGTTTAAATGAAGATCTTTAGCCGGAAAACGTATTGCATTTCGGTCTCTGCCTGTGCAAGTACAATGCACTTGGCCTCCACGTGTCGTAACTCAGGCTGGTCTATTACAAACTACATACGTCACTGTCGGGGAAGTACCTTTGCGTGGACCTTTTAGCAAGTCGCTGCAACGAAATTGCAACATAATTGAACAAGAACAGCTCCAAGGAGGATCCGAAAAAGGTATGTTCGAAGTGGTTGTTTCGAATTTTAGCTTATCTGTCATTTTCGATGCTGGTACTTTACGAGTGCTTAACTTGGGTGTCTTTTTATCCCACAGTTAGCTTAATTAAGTTCAAGTTAGTTACCTTACATTTGTAGGGTAGAGAAGAAAGAATTCAAGATTAATTCAGTTCAAATTGAAAGTTTGGACATGTACAAAGTAAAGCAAGCGACGGTATTTCTCGAATCTAAATTCTATTACCTGTGAGTTCATATGATGCCAATAGTCTTTTTCGTTTTTCAGTTTTTGGTGGGGGGTGTGAAACAGTTTCGTGCATTCATTGTTTCGTTTTAAAGGGGCTATCGGTTGCTGCTGTCTGGTTCGGTTTCAAGTTTTCAAAAACCACCAGCATTCCGTTTCAATCCTCTTCAAGTTTGTCCATCCTCGCCTCCTTTTGTACTATATAGCTGGATTATTTTTACCTACTTTTACCTTGAGAAGTTTTTCTCATTTCTTATTCTGCGTGGTGGCTGTTTTCACTGTTTGAATTTTGTCAAATTTCGTGACGCAGCTCCTTTAACAACAACAAATCCCTAGACTTGTTCTGCTTACTAAGCGGAAACATTTCCGCGGGAAATTCCCTTCGCACTATGTAAATTTTAATTAATATGCAAACTGGCACAGAGTAAAAGGTACTTTCCCTTGGGTTTTTTCCCTGTTTTTTTTTTTGTTGTTTTGGTTATGGGACTGCGATGAGACTTTGATTAAACATTTAAGAAAATTTTAAAAAAATTTAAAAATATGACGACGTTTCGATGTTCTCGGACGTCGTTATCAAATCAGACGAGGGCGAGGACGAGGACGAGTACGAGATTTGACTTGAAGTTTTTTCGCGTCTTCTCAAAATATAGACACCTCGGAAAGCTTCATTTTACCATTTTTCACTAGGAAAATTAGCATTGTTATCTTTAGTGAAGGAGGTTACACGCTTTCCCGATCGCAAAATGATAAAACTTCTAACATTTTATATTTTGTTTTCGCCAGCACTACATTCTCGCTTAGGGGTGTGAATTTCAGATTTTAGTCTCGCTTAGGGTGTTTTGGGCAAAACGCCACTATATTTACCCGTAAAGGTCTCTTTTAGGGTTGCACCGGCAAGGAAATATTAAAAAATTGTGTATTTTCAATTCGTTTTATTTACTCGATTCATGTAATCAAAGTTTAAAATTGCTTTTAGGGGACAAATAAAGGTTGGGCCACGCCCAGAGTGATCTCCTTAAGGGGTTTAATTCAAACTTTCCGACGGGCATCCCCGCCCCTTTCATATGGGAGTCCCCCCCGGGACACGTAGTCGTACTCTTCTTAGAATCTAAAGGTCTCTAATGACGTCCAAGAACATCGAAACGTCATGTTTTTAACTTTTTTTGAATTTCTTAAAATGTTTTTAGCAAAGTTTTATAGCATTTTTTTATGGACAAATGTCCATAAAATTAGATCGCTGGCCAAATACTTTTTTCAAAAATACCCTTTTTAATGAACTCGTGCAGAAAGCGTGGTGAAACAGATTAACAGTGTACATGTACATTGGGTACCCTGTGAGCAGAATCTCCCTCCTTATCAAAAATTCAAAGTAGAGAAAGGTAGAGTAAAAACTGAATGAATACTCAGATTCCAGAAAAAACCGGAAGTTGCATAGAAGTGAGGCTTAATAGCCCTCGTGGCAAATGTTACTTGATCGTCCGCCATGTAAGTTATTTCAAATTTGCCGCGAGGGCTAATATGCCTCACTTCCATACAACTTTTTGTTTTTTACTGAAATCGGCGTATTGAATGAAGATTTTATTTAGATGTAGTTTTCGCTTTTTGAACGCACAAAAATACAACCTATTCTATGCTTAAAGGCCTGTATTTTTGATTGGTGACCATTGGTAATCGATTTCTCAGGACAATGTGAAATTTGTTAAGTCATCATCATCATCAAGTCTTATCGCTATCCTCGTTTTCACAAGGTAATGGTCACTGTATACATCTGCTCCTCTCATCACTCTGATGTCTAATATAGATGTTTTCATGTTTCCATTCACTAGAACATGGTCAATCTGGTTTACTGTCCTCCCATCTGGTGACCTCCAGGTCAGCTATGAGGGAAGATTGTTCCAGTTATGATGAACCCATTTGCACTACAGAAGTCACATAACCTCCCTCCATTGTCATTCACAACACCAACGCCAAAGCTCCCCATAACCTCCCCTCTATTAGTATTGTTGTTGCCTACCTTAGCATTCAAATCTCCCATCACCACAATCATATCATTTCTGTTTGCAGTTTGAAACAGTGTTCTGCAGCTGGTTGTAGAATTCATCCTTTTCCTCATCCATCGCATCATTTGTTGGTGCATATGCTTGTACCACCGTCAGTTTATGATAGTTTGAGTAGAATCGAAATTTGTTAAGTTGGCGTCAAGTAAACCAGGATCGGACCGGATCAGATCATCCCCTGTAACTCACTAAATAACAAAAGGTAATAAGGGATAGGGTCTGTATGAATGATCCCATCGACGGCGATCGACGGCCCGCTTGAGCTCGATTTCCGCTGGTCTCTCGGGGGAGAAGCGCAGGCTTTTTTCCAGAAAAGAAGCTAGTAATCGAGCCTACGGATCACTTCAATGCTCTAGCGCTCCAGTTTACTATAGTGGAACTGCTGATTGCGTAATCTACAGTGGATTTCTTTTCTGAATGCTTTAATCAGTGAAACAGGTGAAAGCGCAGAAGAATTCCAGTCTATCAAAATCCGTCTTTCGATTTCGTTTTCGAAGTGAAAATATATGTTTGCATTTTGAAAATTTTGATCGAACACTGGTAAATAATGGGCTCTGGGGGGGACGGATATTAAATGCAATAGTCCAAATTACCATCTTCACATAGGCCAGGCCATAATGAACCTTGTTCACCCGCCCCCCCCCCCCCCCCCCAAAAGAATTGTATAACCATTGTCTTCAATTTCTCTTGGGACGACTGTAATACACAGGAGACATTAGAAACCATGGTTATGCAAACTTTTGGGGGATAAACAAGACGCATTATGGTCTATGTTTGATCATCCTCTTAGTTTAAACATGCAGCAAATGAGAAAAATGGAAGTTGGGGACCTGTCTGGTAAGACACTTAACTTCGTCTCCCACTCCTTGGACAAACCAACCCTGAACTCCTGGGAGGACCTAATGCGAAGTCAAACCTTTCGCTCCATTTATTCAACCGATGACATCGAGAAAATACGACTGAAAAGTGGCCGCGTGTCTCCGGCGGTCGCTTTAATACAAGACCTCGTATGTCGAAAAACACCATTGGAAGACCTGATGAGCGGTCTAAGAGAAATAGAGAACAAAGAGGCAATTTTGATCATTGAAAATGGTAAGTTGACCACATCGCATGGGTTGAAACATATCTATGGAAATGTTTTGTTTTCGGGTTTTGATAGAATCTCTTCATAAGGTTAAAGTCCCGTGTTTTCTCAAAATAACGAGTAACCCGCTTGTGGCACTAAAAAAGAAGTACATGTCGACGTGCCATGAGAGAACTAAAAGAATATAAAATGTAGCTGAAATAAATTTAGTTTCTGAAAAAAAAAACCTGAAATGATAGCTCAGCTCTTTCTACAAATTTAAGGCAGCTTGGTTTATTGGTTATATCAGTTTTCACAGGCTGAGACCCGAGCTCTTTTCCTCATTCAGCCATGTAAAGGACCAACTGGCAATTGAAGTATTGTTCCAAAATCTTGTTGTGATCAACGTGTGTCTACATTAATTCCCAATCCCCAATTATGTCTATAACGCGTACGGAAAGATATTAACTTACAGTCTTACAGTCGGTGCGCGGTCTCTTCCTGAGGGTCTCCAACTGGGTCCCGATTACTGAATTAGGCTTGATTTCCGCCGCTCTTCCTGCCCTCCCCGAGAAGAGAGTCTGTTCTTTTGAGGAGTGCGGGCTTATGCTTTGAACAGTGACTGGCAATCAAGCCTAAATCTCGACCAGGATCCCTACTGGATATTCGTTCTCTTTCCGAATTCCGCAGCCCTGTTCCCTTTCTCCACCTCTTCAATTCCGACCAAATAAGGTAATTCCCAGATCATGAAGCCAAAACCCTTATCGGAGACCCTCTTTGATGTCATTCCTAGAAACGATGAGCAATAGCTTGAGCCCCCAAGACTCTGGTGGAAGACCTCCTCCTTCACTTTTCATACCGCGGCAACCAGAAGAGGTATTTGCTATTCTGCCAGTCTACCCACTTTAGCTGTTTTGTTGTACCAAACAACAGAAACATATGAAATGAATATTACTATGTAATATAATTGTAATATAATTAAACTTTCAATATGCTCTATAGATATTGGATAGCTTATAATTTATCACTTAAAATTATAAAGTCATGGTATGATATGATTAATTGGTGCATGCGACTGTACATGCGTGTAATAGAGAAGAGGATTGATGACGTCACAAAAACTAAATTTGTGAAATCAGAGTACTTATATCTCCCCGCCAATTTGCTATAACAAACTCATTTTTATCCTGTTCCAGGATCCAAGAAGGTCGCGTCAGCGGAATTGAGAAAGCGTGAACACGAAAACAAAACGGCAGGAAACTGAGAAGAGGAAGGGCGGCTTCCTTTGCTCATTATACGTTTCTGGGAAACTGCCAACCTACTCCTCCCCTACGCCAACATTTTGCCCTAAGTAAAAAATAAGTGTTAATTTTGGCTTAAGGGAGAGGTAGGTGATCAGTTTCCCAGAAACATTTAATGATCTTTTTTCCCACTCCCGCCTCCTTTTTCCAGATCACGCGCTCATGTTTTCTCGTCCCTTTCACTTACACGTCATCCATCCCTGAGCTAGCCTGGAACAAGCTAGCTCATTTTTTGAAAAGTGAACATATTTCATCATGTTCTTTATTTCTTTAAATCTTTTCTATCCCAAAATTTTACAAATTTGAATTTTCGTTACGTCACACTTCTCTTTTCTTTTGTGAAAAGTGGTTATAAGTAATTTAGTTTTACTCTTAAAACTCGCAATTGCAAGCTATATGTTATTCTCACGTTGAAGGTGGTTTCTAACTAACTAACTGTATTTGTGGTAGTACACTGGAGTGCTTTGACGACTGGCGATGCGGTCATATGTTTCGCCTTGTGCCTGTTTTCAGGCACAAGGCGAAACGTAATACCTTTTCCTGCCAATAAATCACTGTGAATATGGATCAAGCCATCATTATACTTAGATCTGGACTAGGTTTAATTTATAAGGCGGATGGAACGTGATTTTTCGCGATTTAGTATAAGAAACGTATTTTTTTTTATGATTTTGGAGGGGCCGACTTTTCGATATTTTAATCATATAACTTTAGGTCTAGCTATCATTGTGCTTAGAAATGGACTAGTTTTAGGCAAGGAACTTGAATTAATATAGGGAACGTATTTTCATGTTTCTGGAGTAGCTATAGTACTCGATATTTTATTGGTCAATCAAGACGTCGATAGTGGGGAAGGGGGGAGGAGAAACGGTGCAAAGTTGAGGTCGATGGTGGTTTGGCGAAGCGGTTTGTAGTTTAGGTTCCGATAAAACCTATTGTATTTTAAATGATATTACGACTTAGGGTCTTTATGATAATGGTGATGGGTGACATATCGAGAAAGTAATAGTCAATTAGCAGTAGTCAATTATCACAATTTAAAGAAAAACGCGATGTATCAGTCAAGTCGATGAATACCTATTCACCGTGTGCACAATCACCAAACATTGCATTGATGTCAGAGTAGCTCCGTACGGCTGAGGAGAGAGTCGGTTAACGCGAAACGAGACTTGCTGCGCGCCCAGAGGCGAGCAACCCAAACGCCAAGGGCTGTTTTTCCTCCTCCTCCCTATCGAATATCTCTGTTATCTAATTAAGTAAGGTGGTTACGGCAATTCAGTCAAACTTAAGACAAGCAGCTTTGGCTACAGTAGCCCCTCAAAGTACGCCTGCATTTACATGTATTCAGGCTATGGGTAAACGAAAGTGAATCGATACGGCTACTTTAACTAGTCATCTGGATAATATGAAATTTTAGAGCATTTTGCATTATAAGAATGAGTCATTTAGGTAAAGTAAGCAAGAAAAAGTGATCATGATAAAAAGCGAGATAAAATGTTCTATCAAAAAAAGTACACAAATTCAAACGGAACCGCTATAAAAATCAAGAAAAAGTAAACGCTCTCAGACTGTAACGATCAAAAAAGAAAAATCAACTCAGGGGCCCAAATGAACTCATCAACTCCCTCTTGTTGATTTGTACAAAGTTTTTCCAAATGTGCGTTGAAAATGGTACGAAATACCAGACGTTTCGAGGATTGCTCCCTCTTCCTTAGTGGTTTAAAGCAACTCCATCATGTTGTTCACCTTTGTCTATGCCTAGTAACTTGTCTGCGTTTATTGTGACTGGCCAATTCAAACTACTTTGGTTTTGCTTTGGCGACAGTCAATTCTGATCGCTAAGAGTATATTTGCCAGAATCTGATATACGCACTGGTTAATCCTTAGATTTATAAACAAAGGAAGGGTCCAAATTTCTGTAATTTAAAGAAAAGGGGCTTCACCAATTAGTTAAATATCTGTTAGTTAGACTAGTTCGTGTCACTTTATCTATTTTTTAGTTACTTATTTATTAAAATCACTTTCGACAATTTAATAGTCATCCTTTATAAAGTAATAAAGATAGTACGCTCCCTCTGTCGTGTTTGCATGAGAGTATGTTAACATGGTTGTGACGTCAAGATGTTTTGCTTTCGCGCACTAATCACGCAAGAACGAATTTGAACATTCTCATCCCCAGAGCCACTCGGCTTACTTTGCAACCGAACAGTGACAACCGGAGACCAAAAGAAACAAAGAGCTCTGGAGACGAGCATGGAATTTGAAAAAAGTTTTGAGTTGAAAACTCGACAAGTTTACTTTATTTACCCATTTCCTCGTTGGCCGACACTCGAAAATCTTAAGAAACATGCTGCGTAATTTTTTTTTTTTCGCTCAAGCTGACAATTTAAGCAAGAAAAATCCATATTTTGGAAAGCATCTTTTTCGCAAAACAAGAACATCCTCCTCAACCCCCTTGAGGGGTTGGGAGAATTCTTGATCTTGACGTCAAGATGTTTTGCTTTCGCGCATTAATCACGCAAGAACGAATTTGAACATTCTCATTCCCAGAGCCACTCGGCTTACTTTGCAACCGAACAGTGACAACCGGAGACCAAAAGAAACAAAGGGCTCTGGAGACGAGGATGGAATTTGAAAAAAGTTTTGAGTTGAAAACTCGACAAGTTTACTTTATTTACCCATTTCCTCGTTGGCCGACACTCGAAAAATTGTAAGAAACATGCTGCGTAATTTTTTTTTTTTTGCTCAAGCTGACAATTTAAGCAAGAAAAATTCATATTTTGGAAAGCATCTTTTTCGCAAAACAAGAACATCCTCCATTCTCCCTCCTTGAGGGGTTGGGAGAATTCTTGATCGTTATGCAATCCTCGACTTCGTCTCGATTTTGCATAACCGTGTCGAATTCTCCCATCCGCTCTCGTGTTTATATGAGGCTATGCAAACACGGAAAACGTTTTTCTATTACTTAGGCCCTGTTCGCAAAACGACAAAAAAATAGAGTTTGTCGTTTGCAAAAATGAGGTTTGAAAATGTTGTAGTTTATACCAATTTTTCTTTTTTGCACCTGACGCACGCAAAGGTTAACTTATCTTGTAACCAAAAACGCCATTAATAAAGGAACTTTAATTGGTCACATTAGCGCGAAATACGATGATTCGACGAGGGATAGCTGTCAAGGAACAAAGGATTTTGTCGACTGTCAAAAAATTGGTGGGACTCCAAACTTTCTCGACGGCATTTCTGAAGTTTGGTGACACTTGAGAAAATTGGTAGGCGAAAAAAATCGTTCGCACTAAAAAAGAGGGTCTGAAATGGCTTGCGTACTGCGAACAGGGCCTTAAATAATTTCTTTGTCGCTAAAGCGAGGTTAGTTGATTATGAGAAAGATTAAGAGTCACGTTTACGACAAACGGCAAACTTCAGATTCAAGTTGAGAATTTCTCAGAATAGAAAATAAGCAGATAAAAACTGTTCAGGACAATTCTTATGGGTAAAACTGGCATGAAACTGCTTATTTTTTAGTAGAAGTAAGAAACAGTAAACGACAATAAAGGAGAAATCCTGGTCACGTGGTACAAATTCACGTTTGCTGTTTGGCGTAAACGTGTCTCTTAATCTCTCTATTTTCTTTCTTTTTCGCTTCAGAACGGCTCTTCGGTTTCGTTGTCATATGCCAGATGTGCCTCTTCAGTTAAGACACAAGGCGAAACATATCCTGTTCAGGAATCAGCAGGAATCAAGGAAGACCATCCGTGCGATCCGTATCGACTCCAAGAAAACACAGGAAAGATCTTCAGCTATTTCTTCCCTTGCCTTGGATGGTTCGGCCGCCCAAAAGATTATAGTAATATTTAGGCCAATGGCAAAGTGCTCTGTCGACATTTTATATCAGTGACTTGAGGCAATATTATGGAATAGACGTCAATACAAGTGTTAATTTAAAAATCATCATGATTTTGAAATTAGTTATGGGTTAAACTTACACCGATAGTTACCTTTTATGCGTTCTTTTAAAGTGTTTTAACAGGAGTACCCCAGGGGCGGATCCAGGGGGAGGGTGCAGGGGGTGCGCACCCCCCCCCCTGGGATGACCTGCGGCCGCTTTCTAATTAACACTGTGCAGTCGCTTGACAGACATACACAGGGGCGGATCCAGGGGGAGGGTGCAGGGGGTGCGCACCCCCCCCCCCTGGGATGACCTGCGGCCGCTTTCTAATTAACACTGTGCAGTCGCTTGACAGACATACAAAATCTGCTGTATCGTTTGATATGTATTCTCAGCAGTTCACATTGTTATTTCCTAGTCAAAAGCCCTCTTCTTCGTATTTGCTTTTAAAATTTTTTACGTCATCGGTCAGTTAGTGGTGCACCCCCTCCTAAGAAAAATCCTGGATCCGCCCCTGTACCCTAACGACTAATGTGTAACCAGCTAGGAAAGGAGCTCAGATATCCTGGCCTCACGTCTTAAGCTTTTTAAAGTAAGAAATGAATGAAAAGGTGATCGCTTAGAAGACAGATTAAAAATAGATCAGAAAATGTGAAATAGCTATATAGGAATAGTAGTTCTCAAACTCATCAATAATTCATAAATAAAGAAAAACAAAGGAAATTAATGTTTAATGAGTATTGGAAATCAAATGAAATACTGGTCATTTTTGAATTTAATTTCTAATTTCTGCTTCTATAATCATTTTTTTGAGGAGAAATATCAAGCATTCGACACTGTGTTTCATCACCAGATGAAACTCCTCGAAGTTCGTCAAAAATACTCTGCTTCGCGCGCGTCGTATTTTCTACACTCTTCTCGGTGTTTCATCTGGTGATGAAACACTGCGTCTCGTGCTTGATATATTACAGAGGAGCAGTTCGATGTGTCTCAAGGAGAGCTTTCTTTTCGATGTTTTCTCTTAATCCGCCTAATTTTCTTTCATAATTAATGTCGTCAAATGAAGAAAATGCTAGAGAAGCACATTGTTGATTCAGGACAATCTGACGCACATTTCCCCAGAACTGCACAAAACTATTACAGATGTATATATTTTGAAGCCTTGGACTTTATAGTGAACGAGATCCAGTCTAGATTATTCAACCAGGGTATAAAATCCATACGAATCTCGAAAACTGGCTTCTCAAGAAAGTTTCAGGGGACGATTTCTCAAGTGAGCCATTATCAACCTGCAGCTTTTATGATCGGATACAAACAAGGAACTTCTTGAAACGCATTTTACTATTTTGAAAATGCATGCTCAAGAACGTTCCATAGCTCTGTGTCATCCATAATAGATCTTCTTAAAGCAAATGGACGTGCTTTATTCAGTGAGACTGCAACAGTTCTGCAACTGATATTAGCTATGCCTGCCACAAACACTTTGACTGAGTGAAAGGTCTTTCGGTGCCTTAAGAAGAATTAAGAATTATGTCACGTCTACTATGATGTAGGAAAGGATGAATTAGCTTATGCAGATGCTGCTAACGACTTTTACACCGGAAACTCTTACAGGTTGTCAAAAAATGGACACTTTTCAAAAGTCTTTCTACGTTGAACATTAACCCTTTAAACCCTGAAATCAACATTTGAAACCTCATTGTTGCCCCTATTCATTTCCTACAGAAGTAGTGGGGAGAAGTTGATAAAATATCAAGCAAATTCATCTTGCGTGATCATGTGCGTAATTCTCATGACCACCCTGTTTTACAAAGCACTGATATTACAAGAAGAAATTTGATGCTTATCACTCTTACGGCTTAAAGGGTTAAGCTAATCAGAGAAATTAGTACTGATGGAAACCACTATATTTACAACTTCAGTGGTCATACTGGTTTGTATAAAATCCATAACCTCCAATATCACAATATCATGGTACTTTTGAGTGGACACTCGGCGGACACCAGTCCCTTTCTCAACTATGATCAGGGGCACCCAACGAGAATAGTGAGAATGTAGTTCAAAATCACATAAACATAGCATTGTTAAACGTATGTTAGTATTTAAACGGTGCTATACAGGCATATTTTTATCCCTTAAAAATTTTTCATCTGTTCGGATTTCCTAGCTGAAAATCTAGTGATTCGAAAATTATAGGGATCAAAACTTACCTTTTCGAAAATTTCAGCCAGAACAAAGGCTCCCGAAAATTCTAGGTGACCTTTTTAGGGGAAAAATCCGTTAAAAATGGGCAATTATACCATTTTTTAGATTTTCGAAAATCCAAGGAGAGGCAGGCAAGCAAGAAATTTTACAACAAATGTTGGGAAAATTGTAGATCTCAAATCGTCTTCCTAACAGATATTTTCCGAAAATTGACGTTGGGTGCCCCTGTATGGTTTGGTACAGGCCGTCAATAATATCTGTATTATACTCGACTAGTATTCTCGCCATTTCAAACTAGGAATTCTAAGGTTACGTTATGGAGAGGGTGTCAAGGCAGAAAACCGCCGTCAGAGAGTGCGTGGTTTAAAATAACGTAGATAATATAACTCTGAGTGGATCAGATCAGATTGCCAGGCATAGGATGGCGTCCATTAGCTGTTCCAGGGTGACTGATCCTAAAAGAACACTTGCGACAGGTTGATGGGAGATGGTCTCTTTTCATCTCCCTGTTAACTTCATTACGGGCATTGGGCTTGAATTCTCGGCTCTTCTTCTTCCGGCCAGCAACAGCGTTTGCGGTGACTAGACATGGCTTAGGTTTGCTGCTTCCGTAGAGACGACAGAGACGATTAATAATATCTCACGCCATTCGGCTGGAGTGATGTTACACCTTTGTCTTAGTTGTAGACAGTTTCTCCCAAATGTTTGCCAAGGCCTTCAGTTGCTCAAAGCATAATACTCGCGCAAACATTTTCAAAAATTTAATAGTCATCTCTTATGTTGATGACACACAATTCGACCCAATGGCAACTGTTCCGAAGATTTCTTTTTGTTTAGTCACTTTTAACTAACTAAGAACTCTTCTTGTCTCAGTTTCGCCGTTTCAAACATTTGTACACAACCTCTTTGTCTAAGAGACCACAAGTATCAGTCAGTAATTTGTACTGAGCCAAAACCCGCCAGACTGTCCACCATCTTGGATTTGAGCTGCAGTCAAGAACCACGTGCGTTCCAGCGTGTGACACCAAAAACATAATCGATTTGGTGTAAATTAGCCTAGAGTGTCCAAGTCGCCATAAACCACTTACCCACTGGGGTCTGAGAGACAAAGGTTGTTCTGAAGTGAAGTCGTAAACAAGTGCTCTAAAATGAGTAATTATAGACTTAGTAAGAAGTTTATCAAAGTTGCCAACATGTTTTTAGATTGAATTTTGCCAATTTTTCTTCATTTTTCTGGCAAAACAGATCACGTGTTTTGCCTCGTGCCGAATGCATTAATTGATATGATTGTTTTCCCAGTACTCATATATAAATACGAAATGCTTGAAATAAGAATGCAATCAAAACCAAGTCCGTTCAAATTCTGTTAGTGAACAAGTCTCTTTCCTTCAGTTCTACCACCCACATACACTTTTGCCTATGTTGCATTTAATATATTAAATTCAAAACTGAAAGAAGCTTTTCAATTTAATTAAATCTATTACGACATCATCCAAAGTTTAGTGGACCAGGACTAGAATTTAAGGCATCCCGACCCGAACAGATTTTGACGTCTAGCCCTTAAAATAGAAGCACGTGCTGAAACGAAAACGTCACTGACATTCTACAAAATATTTTGTTATCTCCCTCAATGCCATCACCATAGAGAGAGTCAAAACAAGTCACAGTTCAGAATTTAATAAAGTTAAGAAAAGACTTTCAGTCACATTAGACTGTTTTAAAACCTTTATGCTTAGTACCAAACAGTTTTTGGAGGATACTTTTCTGATTAAATGAAAAGTGGCGAATCTAAATTTTTTCAAAAGAGTATTACGAAGTCTCTGCCACTGCATGATGTGCCATGCACGTGGCCTCAGCGTGTCTCTGGTCTGTACAAACAACATACGTCAACATACGTCAACATACGTCAACATACGTCAGCGGATTAAGGTAGGGAAAAACCCCCTTGGTTGAACCAGAAGCATATAACTCGCTTCTGAAGAGAAGAAAGAGGAAGCCGAAGCGAGAAGAGGTTATTCAACGAGTCATTGAGGTAAGTGCGAAGTGCGATTGTTTGTTTCATTTGCGGGTCGAAAGGTGTACTGTCTTTCGGAAAACTAAATCAGTAAACTGCGCTAGATTCGCAATTCTCGACTCAAATCTTAATATGCTATATTATCGAACAACGAAAACTGCAAAGCTAAGCAAAGTTTTGTCGGGGTTCGACGAAATTTACTATATTGTGGCTTTGACTTTAATATCTGAAAATGAATATTCCAAATTGTTTAGAGTGATAGTATAAGGGTTTCAGCGACATAATTCTACATTGATTTATCTTTTACAAGACTACTGATTTCTTGTCATGCCTATTTTACACTTTACCGATCGCTGGGGTAATTTACCACGTCGTAAAAAGTGTTTAAAAAGCATTTGCATTTGCTGATACGGACTGTAGTGAGAAAATACTGGTAAGCTGTAAATTGACGTTTAATATTGTCGCTCATCTTTGGGTTTTTAATTCAGATTTACTGTGTATTTTTTACCGATAGGGTATCAACGCAATCGCCAGAGAATCACCGAATCAGATTTCTCATAGATCCTTTGCCAGGTATGTTTTTAAGGCCTTGGAAAAAATACACAGCGTGCTGAAAAAGTTTATTTATATGCTTGAAACGTACGCTCAAAACATTCTCGATTTATCCGTTTTGATTAAAAATTTAACTTCCTTGATCTGTTCTGCATACCAAAAGAGGGGTTTCCCCAGGGGAATTCCCCTTATGAAATAATATGCAAAAACGTACGAACGGGTAGGGTTTTTTCCCCTCGGTTTTTTCCAGCATCTGCTATTATATTTCATGTCATATTTTTTAACAACATTATTGATCAAATCCTGGTCCGTTTTGTTTTATTATTAAATATTGACATTTTTTTATTTATTTTTTTGAAATTTTGGTGCGTGTAGCGTGGTAAAACAAATGTGAGGCTATATTGGTCGAAGCTTTCATCAACTATCGCGTCAACATCTGTTTCACTTTCACTTTGAACGCTGAAAGGACTGTTTAACAGTTTAACGTTCACGCCAACACCAAACTATAAATGCCGCTACTGAAAGAGTGATTCCTTTTCAGGTGCAATCTCAGCTAGCAAACTAATTTGTCTTTTGGCCTTGAAGTAAAAGAAATGTTTACTACTAAAGGGGCTGCTGTGTTGCGGCTGTCCGGTTCATTTTGTTTATTATAATGTCAATTTGCTCTGAAAATTGAGAAATTACTAGTGAATGACAAAATCACAGCTCTGTGCCAACCCAATATACCTAAATATTTCAAACGTAACAAACAACAAAAGTGAATTTTGAAAAACTTTTAGGTTAACAAGGTTCCAAAACCATGTATAACAGTTTCAGCGATTTTATTTTACTTTGGTTTTATCTTTCACAGGAATACTGATTTAATTTTATGTTTTCACACTCTTACGGTATGTAGTTGACGATCGTTCTTACTGAAACATTTGACTTTTTTCGGCTGGGAATTTACAGCGTCTTTGAAAGTTTTTAAAAGCGTTTACGTTTGCTGATGACTGTAGTGAGAAAATACTGGTAAGCTGTAAATTGGTGTGTGATATTCTCGCTCATCTGGTTTTACTGGGTTTTTTAATTCGGATTTACAGTGTGTTTTTTACCGATAGGGTTACGCAACTGCCTAAGAATCAACAGATCAGATTTCTCATATCTCTTTTGCCAGGTATGTTTTAAGGGTCTTGGAAATAAACGAAGCATGTTGAAAAAATTTAGTTATTTGCTTGAAACGTTTTATGATCAAAACATTCATTTTTTATCCTTGATCTGTTCTGCATACACTGTACCCAAAGAGGGGTTAACCCGGCGGGGGAAATCCCTATGTATGAAATAATATGCAAAAAAGCACGAAAGGTTAAGGTACTTTTCCCTTGGTTTTATCCAGCATCTTTTATTTTATTATATGTCATATCATCATTTGTTTCTTTTTTTAAAACATGATTGATCTAGTACAGGCCCTTTTTATTTCATTTTTATTATTCTTTTAGTTTTGGCGAAAGCGTGGTAAAGCAAATGTATAAAACTAAATTGGTTGAAGCTTTCATCAGCTATCGCGTCAACATATCTGTTTCGCTTTTACTGTGAACGCTGAAAGGGCTTATCCTGAGTGTAAGAACCTGTTAAACTCACTGGTGACGTAAAGCAAAGGGAACAAAGAAGTCCAAAGCCTGCGAGCAAGCTCTCCTATTTAGGCGAGTGAAGCGAGGCTCACTTCGCTTGCCCAAATAGGAAAGCTTGCTCGCAGGCTAAGAAGTCCGACACAATAGAACCAAGAAAAACAAAAGGTGCGAAACCAAGAAAAAGTTCACTGGTTCTTACACCGAGGTAAACCAGCTGAAAGGGCTGTTTAGCAGTTTAGCGTCCACGTATGTCTGCGAGCAGTCTCTCTTTTTCTTTATATTTAGTGAGAGTAATGCACGCGTTCGCAGACGTACGCGCGTGATCATTTGCGTGTCTCGCGCTTTTCACCCAAAAGATTAAGAAAAAAGAGGGACTAGTCTACGCTAAACAATGATTCCTTTTCAGGTGCAATCTCAGTAGCTAAAGTGGGTGATCAAAAGACCAAGTTGCTGGTGTCTGGATTTGCCAATCAGTGGTTTAATTCTGTTTGGCAAGCTGATTTTTCTTTCGGCCTTGAAGTAGAAGAGGAAATGGTGACCCCAAATTATTTTGGTGTTGTTACTATTAAGTTGTTGTTACTTTTGGATCTATTTATTTCAACAGGAAATGGAAAAGTGTGAAGTCAAGGACTTATCCCATGAAACGATCGAAAACCTCACGCACTCCTTGGAGAAACCCACCCTGAACTGGGAGGAACTCATGAGAAGTAAGACCTTTGGTTCCATTTATTCAGCAAATGATATCAACAAGATCAGAATGAGTGGTAGCCACCGGGCAACGGTTTTAATACAAGATCTAGTCTCCCGAGAAATTTCACTTCAAGTCTTGCTTAACGGTCTAAAAGAAATTGGAAACAGAAAAGCAATTTCGATTATCGAGAGAGGTAGGTAGTTGTTATCGCAAAAGTCGAAACGATACGGGAATGGTTGCTTCCGGATAGTGATAGAAACTGATTTTTTATTTTGGTAAAAGGCTTTTTTTTTTCGAAATAAAGAGTAGCGGGGCAGCGCTTCAACAAAATTATATGAGTTAAGCCAAATAATGTAAAGCTGAAATAAATTGCTGAGAGGGAAAGTGGTTGTATATATGGAGTGTTCGGCGAGCGAAGCGAGCCGCGCGAGGACGCCCGAACGTCTCCTCTAGCGTGCTGCTCATGCGTGTACTTTTCACGATATCCCCTGTTCGTTGATAACACAACAAAACCTCGAGCAACTGATTATTTCCAGCTGCACCACAGGCTACTTTACTCCGAATATCACAAAACATCAACAAATAATTGTTAAACATATGTTGTTCATTCACATTTAATCCTTATTTGGTTTCATTCCTGTAGACAAAGTAAGTAAAGGATTTAACATGCAGGACTCTGGCGGACAACCTCTTTCTTCAATCTGTATTACCCGTCAACCAGAGGAGGTATTTATTTCTCTACTTAGTCCTAAACAGTCTAACCACTTGGGCCCTACATACCAAACAACAGAATCATATACATATTGCTGAATTTATTAATAAATTTGTAATGTAAATAAACGCTAACTATGCCATAGATATTAGATAACTAATGATCTAAAATTAGCCATTAGTTGCTTCGCGTTTTGGCCGTTTAGTTTGTGTACACAAGAGTAATTAAGAGCACTTTCATTTGTGTTGCTTTATATTAAACACTGAGACTCAGTTACCAATCAAATTTGTTTGAAAGTGGAGTATGATTGCTTAATTTTTAAAAGTAACTTATATTTACTTCTTTACTGTACTTGTAACAGAACGCTGGAGAAGCAATGAAGACTGGCGATGCGAGTCCAATGTTTCGGCTTGTTCCCATTTTCGGGAACAAGCCGAAACATTAGACTTTTATCTGCCAATATACATTACTGGTGAATGTAAGAGTAAGTTTAGCTATCATTGTTAGTTATACAGTTTAGCGTTTTAACTGAAGTTGCCCGATTCACAAGGTTTTGGTGCAAGACAAAGCAGTTTGAGAGATCAAGTAAATTAATTCATTACAATCCAAATAAAACTGCAGTGAAGCCATGACCATTTTAGAATTGTGGATGATCGTAAGCAAACAACTTTTCTCTAGCGTACATTGTATAAAAATTTGACTTCAATCTTTAAGTTAGGTATTTTTCCAGCTTAGTATAATCCCTTGTGTATTACTATGAAAATTTCTTGTTTATGAGGTTAGTAAGAAATTGTGATCACAAAAAATGGGGGCAAAGAATTCGATCGTCTGCCGAAAACTGCAGAAACGTACAGAATAATTGCGGGAAAAAACGCAGTGATAATCAATGAAAAGCGAACGTCCGTCCAATGTTTCGGCTTGTTCCCGTTTTCGGAAACAAACCGAAACATTTGACTTTTATCTGCCAATGTCATTACTGGTGAATGTAAGACAGGGACGTAGCAAGCCCATAGACCTGGGCCTACAAATTTTTGATAAATTATGCGTTGTTGGGGTGAGCTACAAAGCTTAAGAACTCAAAGTGTTGGTGAGGTCAGTGTGTACTAGTCAGGGGTGCAATTTTTAGGATATGTGGAAAAGAAAGTCAGCCAGGCCTACAACAAGTCGAAAAGCTAGCTACGCCCCTGTAAGAGTAAGTTTAGCTATCGCTGTTAGTGGTCTAGTTTAGTGTTGTAAAAGTTGTCTGTTTCACAAGGCAGTTTTGATGCATGACAAAGCAGTTTGAGAGATCGAGTAAATTAAAAAATACAACACCAAATAAAAACGCAGTGAAGCCATGACCATATTAGAATTAGTGTACATTGTATAAGAATTTGACTTCGCTCTTTAAGTTAGGTATTTTTCTGGCTTAGTATAATGCCTTGTGTATTGTTTTAAATAGTTCCTATAGGTAGGGTTAGGGTCTATGAAGTTAGTAAGAAATTGTGATCGTAAACAATGGAGGCAAAGTTAGATCGTCTGGCGGAGCACGCGCAAAACGTACAGAATAATTGCGGAAAAAAGCAACGATAATCAGTTAAAAGCGAACGTCCGTAGACTCAAGATCCTTAAATGGTCAAAAGAGGTATCGCAAATTCCACTCATCAGCTCCGTTCTCGTTGCTCAACCTTTCTAATTGGTTCATTGATGACCTGCATGGTTTGTCTGCTTCCGTTGTTATTTGCTAAATTACTCATGTTGGTTTTCTTTTTACGCCACTCAATTCTGACTGTCTTACATGTAAGAACATCTTTGAATCTGATATATAACCGGGATCAGGTTATAATTCTTGTATTATTAACGTTGGGGTCAATGGCAACGCAAATTTCGGTAATTATTGAGACAAGATTTAAAATTTTTAAAACAAAGTAACAATGGTATATTAATTTATTAATTACTTATTTACTAAGATTTGTTGTGGCAATTTAACATTTTTCCTCTATAGTTATTTCTTTGTTAAAACGAGTGCAACTGACTTTTTTTTCTTTTTTGTTTCAAAAGCACTCTATGCCGTTGTCGTCCCACGCTGTTCCGGAGCAGTGTAGGGAACAAGCTGAAACATTACGTCATCCTGAACAAACATCAGGAGCCAACAAGGAGCGACCCTGTGACCTGGGACTTCAGGGATACATGGAAATGGCCGTTAGCCTTTTTTTCCCTTGCCTTTGTTTCCTTGAAGGGTTCCAAAGGGCGTATAGTTCAGGAGAGCAATAGTTATGATTTGTGAAAGACACTGTTTCATCGACCGGATTTCGATCCGTTGTGGGTCATATTTTCTGATTGCAATGTTGAAATCACGATAACATTTTAAAATAAGTTCTATATTAGATTTACCCAAGAGAGAATGAGTTCATTCTCTCTTGATTTACCTCGATTGTGACCTTTTATGCTTTCAATTGCAATATTTTAATACAGATTAACTCAGTGTATGGTAAATGGTAAAGTTCGATAAATATGGGTAACAAGATTTTTAAAGTGTATCAGGAGCCGATCGGCTCCTGAGTGTATTAATTAATTCAGATATCCTAGCCTTGCTTCTCATACTTTTTAGCACAAGCCAAGGATGTATACGCCATGTAAAACGATAATTGTTTTAAAATAGAGCAGAAATTGAGATTTCCATAGGAATAGTAGCTTACAGTGGAATAGGTAAGACTTAAGTTTGTCAAGAGAAAATTTTAGAATGATTTTTTTTAATTATGAGTAGGTTTCCTTTTATCATTACAAATTCTAGATGTAATTATGTAAAAATAATTGTAACTGCATAGTTTTTAAACAAAAATTTCATCGTCGTTTGTTCGTGAACGACAATCATATGTATGTGTCGTAAGTGTCAAGTTGGCTTGGAAATTAAGTTAAACTACGTTGATCCGTTACGACGGCTCGCTGGCTGTGAAACAGTATTTCATCTTTAGTGGCCCCAACAATTTGTGTAAAGACAAATGTTAAAAATAGAGTGGCAATTGTCAGTGATAGGAATAACAGTTTATGGTGGAATAGTTTAGTCTATTGTGTGACTTTTATCCATAAATAGGTTTTTTAAGAGTGATTTTACTTAACCGGCTCTGAAGTAGATGGTAGACAAATACGCAGTATTTATACAACTCATTGTTTCTTTTTTTTACCTTTACCCGTTTGGCACCTATTGTTACATACTATTTCACAGTTTGACTTAAGTCACTATGATCACAAATTTCACATGTAGTTACGTACACATAATTAAAAACGGATTTTTTACAAAAATTTCCATTGTCGTTTGTGAACAACAATCCTATAGTTAGTTCTCATAGTTACACGTTTTTTGGAGGGAATGTCGTACGTGTTTTTGTTCACTTTTTTTTTCACTGCCGCTGATCATTTTCACCTTGGTGGCCGCTAGCATTTCTCATTTTCTCACCACCGCTACAAAATTTTCATGTTGTTCTTCCAACAAAAACAATGTTAAGCCCCGTGCAAACGGACGCAACATCGTTGGCCAACAACTCCCAACTTTGTTGGATGTTACATGTTGCGTCCGTTTGTACACCCTGTTGCATGTTGTTGGATGTTGTTGCGTTTTGTTGCGCAAAGTTTGAAACCGGTCAAACTTCTAGCTACGTACAAACGGACGCAATGACTCCCAACAATGTTGAGAGTTGTTGGTCCACGGTGTTGCATCCGTTTGCACACGGCTTTAGGCTGCGTGCAAACGGACGCAACAACTCCCAACATAGTTGCGCCAACAATGTTGGGAGTTACTGCGTGCGTGTTGGCAGTGGTGTGCAAACGGATGCAACAACTACCAACAATGTTGGGACCTGCAGTACATCGTGGGAAGGATACAACCCATAAGTCTTTGTAATCCATGCGTAATGCGCGTGCGTGGCCCCAACAATGTTGGAAGAGCTGTGCAAACGGATCCAACATTGTTGCGCTACGCTTCGGCGATCACGGAACAAAAGAAATGTTGGGGGTTGTTGGCTGAAAGGTTTGACCGGTTTCAAACTTCGCGCAACAACACGCAACAACATCCAACAACATGCAACATGTTGTGCAAACGGACGCAACGTGTAACATCCAACAATGTTGCGAGTTGTTGGCCAACAATGTTGCGTCCGTTTGCACGGGGCTTTAGGATGCGTGCAAACGGGCGCAACAACTCCCAACATTGTTGTGCCAACAATGTTGGGAGTTGTTGCGTGCGTGTTGGCAGTGGTGTGCAAACGGATGCAACAACTCCCAACAAGGCTGGGACCTGCAGTGCATCGTGGGAATAATACAACCCATAAGTCTTTGTAATCCATGCGTAATGAGCGTGCGTGGCCCCAACAATGTTGGAAGAGCTGTGAAAACGGATCAAAAATTGTTGTGCTACGCTTCGGCGATCACGGAACAAAAGAAATGTTGGGAGTTGTTGGCTGAAAAGTTTGGCAGGTTTCAAACTGTGCGCAAAACACACGCAACAACATCCAACAACATGCAACAGGGTGTGCAAACGGACGCAACATGTAACATCCAACGATGTTGGGAGTTGTTGGCCAACAATGTTGCGTCCGTTTGCACGGGACTTTAGACTGCAAAGCAGTCCGTATTTTTGCGTATTCAAGTAAGCGCGAGCAGTCAAAAAAAGGTCTGGAACGAGGCTGAAAATGGAGAGTGAGACTGAGGAGCTTTTCTTTACTGATTTTCAGAAAAAAACCGACCGTTTTGCAGTTTAAAAAAATGTCTCCTTTGCCTTTTCCTCTCGCGCTGGATCTCTCTGTAGCTCTTTTTCTCGTTGAACTTTGCTGGCCCGTCGCCTACTTTCTCTTTTTTCTTTTTATTTATCTTTCTTTATATAATATTCTATATTTGTGGAGATGACAATTAATGCACGCCAAGAGAGGATAAAGGGGACAGAGAAGGTATCCCCCATACACACCCTATTCCATAGGTAATTCGTCTCGAGTTATTTTTAGAATCGGGATAAAGTTACCCTCGCGCGCTGCGTGGAGGTTTCGTGGAGGTTTCGCATGACTATAAACGCCGTGCAAAACATCTCGGGCGAAAGGCAATGAACGCATAAAGAGATCGAGAGCATTTCTGAATATTGAAGCGAAATGAGTCGGCGCTCACCTGGGAAAAGGTAATCGCTGGACTCTTTGACAATCCGTGAAATCAGTGTAACTCGAAGTTGTCGTAACCTCAGTACTTTAATAAAATGAGGAATTTCGCCGGTCTATTGAAACCGGTCATTTGTACAATAAAGCAAGTAGGACGCCAAGTGTTATTTTTGTTGAATAATAAAAGACTAATAAAAGACTAAATATCAAACCAGAAATTGCTCTCTTCAAACTGTAAACTATAAATGATCCTGAGAGAATATTCAGTGTGTTAAGGATTTCCCTGCTGTACTGTTAGCTCTATACAAGAGAGGAAGGGCGATTCTTTTTTAATTTCCATTTCGCTGACACCGCTTTAGTAGAAATCTCTCTTTAGTCGTTTTCGTCGACAAAACGAATAGCAATATCGCTCTCCGCGTCTTCCGCCATCGTTTTTCTGCGTCAATTCGTGAAGGACGCGTGCCTCTGAGCGTGGGTCATCCACGCGGAACACATTCGCGCAATGTGATTGGCTGTTGTCTATTCCCCCTTGGGATCTGTGGTCTTAAAAATAACTCGAGACGAATTACCTATGGAATAGGGTGTGTATGGTGGATGCCTTCTCTGTCCCCTTTATCCTCTCTTGTGCACGCTTAATATTTCATATAACACGGATACAGAAACAATTTCCGCTTTCCGTTTTCATCGTCATTGGATCTTTAGTTGTCTCTGCTTCACAAGACGCGGGCGGCCCGCCAAAATAACCTGAAATAAGCTTGAGTTGCATTTGGGTTGTCATACCTGTTGATTGAGTTATTTTACATTGGTATGCCTGTGGTGCGGACGGAGGGCGGGCAGCAGACGGGCTTACGGTCACGTGATTACTAAAATTTATCGGATGGTTAGATTATCACATTTTCTTAGGCGAGGAGCTCCACTATAAAATTGCTTTTCGTAATATCGCCAGGCTTACAACCAATTTGGTTTGCAATTTTGCAAAAACTGCGTTGTTGGCGTAGGTCGTTTGTAGGAGTATCACGTTGATAATACTTTCATCTGTCAGGTACGGATAAGGTCTCTCATAGCACTTGTAAGTTCTTGCACACTTAACTGGATGTTGCGTGTTTTTGTTAGTGTCATAGAGAGCTTAAGCAACAACGACAGAGACGGCTACGAAAACGTCACTTAAAAAGTGAAGTCGCGCTGCTTCAAACATTTAAAGAGAGCTTAAGCGAAGACGACGGCGACGGCAGCGAAAACGTCACGCAAAAAGTGAATTCTTTATGCATCATCGCCATTATTCCAACTCTTTCAATTTGCCAATTGATGGCGATTTTTTCAGGAGTTAAATTCTAAAGGACTGTATCTAAGTTCCCAAAAGAAAAGAAAAACCGTTGTCTTGTGTTCACGTCCTCAATAAAACGTGAAATTAGGCATTTTCACGTCGTAGCCGTGCACTGACGACAGAGAAAAGTATAAAAAGCGTGATGTACATGCAAAGGTGTTGTTTTGCTTAATAAACCTATTACTTTTTTGCCGCTCTCGTTGCCGTCGCCGTCGTTGTTGCTTAAGCTCCAACTAATCAACGTGGTGATGCCAGCAAACGATATTTTGTAAGTTAATATCAATATTTAAGGTTGCTTAGGAAGCTGAGCGACAACAAGGGCGATGGCAGTAGTAGGTAGTAATAGGTTCATTAAGCAAAACAACACCTTTGCACGTGCATCACGCTTTTTTGTACTTTTCTTTGCCGTCACTGCACGACTACGACTAATTTTGTGTTTTATGTAGAACGTGAACTTAAGACAACGATTTTCGTTAATTTACTAATTTAACTTACGCTCCTTACATACTTATGCGTTTTCTTTTGAAAACGCACACATTTCGAAGCGTTTAGGCCTCCCGTCCAATAAAAAGAGCATTTTCACTCTAGAAAGTAGATCAAAACGAAAGAGCATAAATATCAAATTAGTGTGGACAATCGAAAACGCATAAAAAAGCAAATGATGACGTCATATGTACCATGTGGGTTGTAAAATATCGAAGGGGCGTGTGTTCGTAGCATGCGCATAGAGTTCAACTTACGTCAGAACGTTTCATTCTATGGTCTTCTACCGTTTTCGAACGTGTAAGTGTGGACAGTCGAAAACACAC